AGTAATAATTTGCATAATACGTATCCCCGCTCTTTTAAAAGCGAGCTCTTCCTGTGGTTTACAACCGATATAATAACCACCGTCATTGTTTAACCCTCTCCGTACGCACTGGGGTCATTTTGCTCCCTCGGGGTTGTATTCTTCACATTTTGAAATATTTCTAGTGCAAAGATCTCTTTGAAACTTTCAGTATTTAGTTTTTAAAAGAAATCCATTTTGACAGACTGCTCTGCAAAGCGTACGGATCGGATTAACGAGTAAATTTCTTCTTTGGAAAGTGGTGGCACAGAGTTCCCCACGTCTTATGGATACGATAGTAAAACACAACGACGTACGGATAGGGTTTAAGTACAATATATCTGCATTCAGTTATTTTTTAAAACCATTTTATAGGAGAGCCAAAATAAACTGAATGTTGTTACCATGTACAAAACAAACTCTTAGCAAATATTATAAGTCAATATTAGAGAATACAGTTATGACATTCACGTCCTTATCATCTTTAAAGCAAATATGTGAGGCATTGTGGTGAAATCAGGCGCTTTTCAAAATACTGAAATAAAAAAAAATCTGCATTTTTTGGGGGGCAGATCGACAAATTTTTTTTCTCCAAATTTTCTTCTTTTGGCTTAACACCTTTAATGCCCATTCAAAAACACATTTTGAATGGATTTTATTGAAAAAACATTGATTAAAGGCACCAAAAATTATTGTAAATTTTCAGTTTTCAAGGACCCTCAGGCTATGGAAATTACCAAATTTTGGTGGCCATTTTCTCGTTAGTTTTACATCTGAAACCAGGCGACCCTCTCCTCTTTCAATCGTAAATATCTCGACTTCTATTCAAGATAGATGGGTATTTTCTCACCAAAAAAGAAGGCAAAGGAACAGGTTTTAAGATGATACCAATAACCTCATATGCCCCAAACATTCACGAGCGCCTGATTCCACTACGTAATTATAGTGAAACATATGTGAGGGGAGGGTCGCCTGGCTTCAGGGGTAAAATTAATGAGAAAATGGCAGCTAAAGTTTGATTTATCCTTAGCTTGGGAGTAGTTGGAAACCGAAAATTACATTTTTTTGTGCCTTTAATCAATGTTTTTTAGTAAAATCCACCCAGAAATGTGTTTTTGATAAATAGACATAAAAGGTATAGAGCCAAAAAAAAAAGAAAAAAAAAAGAAGAAAATTGGACAAAAAATTGCCCGACGGCCAGAAAAAATGCCGGTTTCTTCAATGTCATCATTTTGACAAGCGCCTGGTTTCACTAAGATGCATCACATAGAATTGTTTTCTTGGTAACGACATTCAAGTTTTTATTTTTGGCTCTCCTGTAAAAAGTGCAAAAACAGCATAATATTATCCTAACCATTGGGATACGATTGGATAAGGGACATCGGGTAAAATTTTCAAGAGTCGAAAAAAAAGTAATAATTTAAAAAGGCGGCTTATAGTTATTTGATTTTCATACCGCTAAAAAAGTCTACTTTTTGGTTATTTATTCGAATATAGATTTTTTAACCAGCGTTATTATGAAACATACTTCGTAGAATACGTTTGGCGAAAAAAAAAAGAAAAATCGAAAATTTTGTATAGTTGTCCGATCTTATCACGATGTTGATGATATACTGTACTTTAAAAAAAATGACTTCCGGTTAACCCAGCACACCCAAGAAGATTCAGAAACATTCACCACTTCTCGGGAAGCATACAGTACAAGCTGACGATTAAAACGCTCAAACACTACAGCAAACTGTAAACGATTTTGTGGGTGGTTGGATGGTGCTCTGGTGTGTTTAACCCCTTCTTTCCTATCCAACTTCGATCTTCCTTATCTCTGCTCTTTTTTGTGTTTATTGTTACTTTCTTGCATTTCCTGAGAAATTATAATATTATTATTATCCCAAATTGAAAGAGCTGCAGAGCTGGCCTACTATAGAAGACTGCATCTCTCTTCAACACTTAACTTAACGACAGCAGAAGATGGACAAGTAAAGATAAAAATGCTATCTTGTAACACCTTTAATCTTCGACACTTATACGACCCAGTTGTGTTGTTAGTTCCGTAAAATGCTTACTAAAACAAATTATATAAAATTTAGCTGTCTACATAGCCGGGTACCAATTCTCACCAGGTCGAAGTGAGATATCATTTAAGAACCCCTGGTAAGAAAGATTAATTGTACCTCAATTCTATTTATAACTCAATGCTGTCTTTGACGCAGCTCACCTGGAACTGCTTGACCACCATTCTGCAGACTCGCGCATCCTCGACTTTGAACAGAATGCAGATCTTCACCACCTCTTCCTCAATTATGTCCCAATTCGTGGAGTTGCTGAGAAGTTTTTGAATCGTGCCAACTGTCAGCTCACAGACAAAACACGACACGTCGAAAGAGGGATCTTCCCATTCGCGTTTTCTCGACAAGTATGACGTCATTGCGTCTTGTGAGAAAGGTGTCACTCCGGAAACTCGCTCTCGGGAATTCCCAGAAGATGGTTTCTGCTTCAGCTTTGATTTCGATTCGTTTGCGCTGTGTCGTTTCTCACCAGGCAGACTTTCTGTCTTGTTTGTCGTCTGCTGCACCCTCTCTAGACGAACATCTTTACGATCGTCAGCAGAAAGAGGCCGTTCTTGAGTGTATTTCCGAGTGTTCACAGTCTCACTTGATGCAGACGACAGAGAAGCAATCAGGCATAACAGCATCGAAAAACACGTCAGGAATCGCAAAGTCACCTCCATTGTGCCAATGAATATGTACGTATTTTACGATCGCGGTTTTAGAAATATTTGAAACGTTGAGCTATCCACAGAATCACTGTTGATGCCCACAAACAGCTCCTGGTGTCCCGTGTGAAAAGACTCTTTAGATCATAAAATAGCCAAATATAGGCCAATGTATAAACACAATTCTGTTTCTTGCTGTCGTAGATCTTTGTCTGACTTCGTTCGTTATAGAGAAAATCGTCTCTTATGTACACAGACGGTCTATTACTTCCTGCACATGTACACCTTTTTTTACTTACACGCAGAATCACCATAGATGTCCAGACAAAACAGCTATGGAGATAATATACACACAAACTGTAGAGAGTGTCTTGCTTATAAAGACTTGACAATGAATGATCTGTGCACTAAACAATCGCAGTAGTTGTACGCAGGCTGATAGCAGTAAGCCAAAGTGCTGTTCACAAAGTCTAAGGTCTCCTGTACTTATTCTATCGCCGTTCCGTGTTATCAACTAACTGTCACATAACTGTTTCTCGCGACTATTTCAGTAACGAGTTCAGTCACTGTTGCTCACACTGACGAGCCAAGGAAGAAAAGAATTGTGTACAGGTTGGCCACCCTATGTCACACATATTTGAATGATAATGCGCCATCATATTTATCAAATCTGTTAAGACTGTACTTTCCAACTCGCAGTTTGAGGCCATCAGCTGACAGAAAGAAAATTATGTTACCATCTATGAAACTTAAAACAATGGGTGAAAGGGCATTTTATTTATTTATTTATTTATAGTAGAGGGTTTTACGGCGCTCGCAACTGCATAAGGTCATATGAGCGCCAATAAAGGGCATTTGAATACCAAGGCCCCATGATCTGGAATGCTTTACCAAGTACTTTAAGAGAAATCAAACCTTATGATTCTTTCAAATGTCAGCTGAAGTCGTTTCCGCTTTTAAATTAATAAGACGAATATTAGGAGTAATTTTGTTTCAGTCAAAACACATTTTATGTTACTGCTGTACGTTGTACTGTATTGTAAAGCGCTCAGAGCGTGCGTACTTAAATCGGGGTTGAGCGCTATATAAATGTCATTTATTATTATTATTATTATTATTATTATTACTTTTATTATTATTATTATTATTATTATTATTATTATTATTATTATTATTATTATTATTATTATTATTATTATTATTATTATTATTATTATTATTATTATTGTTATTAAGTAGATGAAAATGTATAATAATATCAATGACCCCCACAGGATGATAATAGGCCTATGAAACAGAATAATCATGTCGTACACCGTTTTTAACCACACGCTGACCGATTTCTTTTTCTTTATGGCCTTGAACTGTTGAACATTCTAACCCCAAAATAGACTCCTGTTTTGATTTATAGGTGGTTGTTGGTGTTGTTTTGTTTGTCGTTGTTTTTTTGTTGTTTATAACATCCTTGTGGTCGACCGCAAATGTTGTAGCAGAGGGAGGGGCGGTGCCCCACTGTTTGGATGGCAGGTGCACTCGCACTGTCACTGTCACTGTCACTGTCACTGTCACCATCCCTGTCACTGTCACCGTCACTGTCATTGTCATCGTTACTGTCACCGTCACTGTCACTATCACCGTCACTGTCACAGTCACTGCCACTATCATTGTTACTGTCACTGTCACCGTCACTGTCACAACCACTGTCACTGTCACCATCCCTGTCACTGTCACCGTCACTGTCACAACCACTGTCACTGTCACCATCACGGTCACTGTCATCGTTACTGTCACCGTCACTGTCACCATCACTGTCACAACCACTGTCACTATCACCGTCACCGTCACTGTCACTGTCACCGTCACTGTCACCACCACTGTCACTGTCACCGTCATACTGTCACTGTCACCACCACTGTCACTGTCACTGTCACCGTCACCGTCACCGTCACTGTCACCGTCACTGTCACTGTCACCGTCACTGTCACCGTCACCGTCACTGTCACCACCACTGTCATTGTCACTGTCACCGTCAATGTCATTGTCATTGTTACTGTCACCGTCACTGTCACCATCACCGTTACTGTCACCGTTACTGTCATCGTCACTGTCAATGTCATTGTCACTGGAACGAGCCATTGTAATATTTCAGGGAATAGGCTACTAAAATAATGACACGTGAACTTTTGAACTTTCTTTTACATTGTCATAAGAACTTTTGCAGTTGTTCTGGTAAGAATTTTACGGCGCTCGCAACTACATAAGGTCATATGAGCGTGCGGGACACAATTTGGTTGTTGTCATATTAAGCATTTTCAGCTTTGGTGGAAAATTTCTAATTTTTGCACTGGTGGCGGCCGAAGCCTAGACTTATCGATTTTAGGACCAATAAGGGATCTCTAACGTGTGCAACTTGCACACGGGACCTCCAAGATATTTTCCAGCCTATCCGAGAAGTCTAAGTGTTCGAACTTACCTACCCTAAGATTAGGGGTATGGCTGAAAGACAGCAATAAGAAGGAGCCAGGAGTTGGAATGGAAAGAATCAGAAGCCCAGAGGTTTGGGGGTTGACAGGGGGGAGGGGGGATAACTGGAGATGAAAGCAGACGACAGAAAATGACTTGAGAGCAGGAAAGGGAGGTGAAAGGAGAACGTTTCAGAGAAGAAATTAATGTTTAGATCGTTTTCAGGTTTCCTACCCAGGACCTATTGAATGAGAGGCGAACACCGTAACCTCCAGACCACGAGACCCCCTCGGCGTCATGATTTGTATAGTGGCTGCTCCACAACCTCCAGACCACGAGACCCCCTCGGCGTCATTTGTATAGTGGCTGCTCCACAACCTCCAGACCACGAGACCCCCTCGGCGTCATTTGTATAGTGGCTGCTCCACAACCTCCAGACCACGAGACCCCCTC